GGTGAGCGAGGGGGCGGGCGGGGCGCGCGAGGGAGGGAGGCGGGGCGGAGCAGGTCTGCGCCGGATGGCGCGTCCCCATCGCCGTCCCAGCCCCCCTCCTGCCTCCGCAGATCAACGTGCTGTACAACCGCATCAGCCACGCCCAGAAATTGTGAGTGTGGCCCCGTCCCCAGTCCCTGCCGCCCCTCCTCCCCCTCTTCCTCTCCCTCTCTGTGGGCTCCTTCCCCCACCACCTCTGAGAACTGTCCCCTTCTCTGTCTTCCTCCTCTGGGCCCCTGTCATCCTTTGCCCTCCTGTCTGCAATCTCAGGTCCCAGTCCCTCTTCCGATGTCACCCTAAATCCGGGGTCTTCAAGGGGGGAGAGAGGGTCGATCTTGTCCCCCAGAGAACACTGAGCAGTGTCAGGAGACAAGTGGGTGCAGGGCTCAAGCCTGTCATCCCCGCACTTTGGGAGGCCCGGGGGGAGGACTACCTGAGGCCCCGAGTTCAAGGCCAGCTTGGGCATAGTAACCAGATCTCATCTCTACTAACAAAACAAGCAAAAAACCTGGAGCGGGCACAGGCATGTGGAATCTAGGGGACCAGGGACACTGGCAAGCATTCTACAATGCAGAAGCCAGGGCTCCACAGCAGAGACCATCCAGACCCAAATATCTGTGGGGCTGAGGTTGAAAAAGACGTCTCAGCCCGGCACAGTGGCTCACGCCTGTCATCCCAGCACTTTGGGAGACCAAGGAGGGAGGATCGCTTGAGCCCATGAGTTCGAGACCCACTGAGGCAACACAGCGAGGCCTCGTCTCTACAAAAAAATCAAAAAATTTAGCTGGGCGTGGTGGTCCCAGGGAGGCCGAGGCAGGAGGCTCACCTGAGTCGAGGAGGTGGAGGCTGCGGTGAGCTGTGATCATGCCACCGCACTCCAGCCTCAGCGACAAGTGAAACTTTAAGAGAGAGAGAGAGAAAGTCCTCTCTAAATACCTCTCTCTGTTTCTTATTCTTACTTGGTCCCCTCTCCCTGCCTCCTTTTTCTGCCTCTTTGCCCCCAACCTTTCCCGGCCCTCTGGCCTGTCACCCACCCTCAGACCCCCTGGACCCTCGCTCCTCCCACCTGGCCTCTTTCTCATAAGAATTCATGAGCACAGGCGCCCTGAGCTCCCCAAGCCTGTGAGACCTTTGACCTGACCTTCCTACCCCCCCACCCCCATTCATCAGTGAATCTGGAGGAGCCTCTGGTCATGGTCATTGCTCCCACCTCTTCCTCTGGGCTGTGGGGGGGGGGGCTGATGCTTTGGAGGATGAACTACCTAAATGGAGGGCCCCTCTCTCCTGAGACCGCCTCCCTCTTCTACAGCCGGAAGGGGGCCGGCAAGGGCCGAGTCGGAGGCCGCTGGAAGTGAGGATGCCGGGACTGTGGCCTTCCTCGGAGGCCCTTGGGGTGTTTGTTCCATCTGTAACTTGAAATAAACACTCCCTCAGACACCAGCTGAGTTCTCTGATGTTACTGTTGTGATTTGCAGCCAGCCCCTCTTAGTAAACTGAGTCAGCACCAATTGGCTATTGCTGGGGGGGGCATCAAGTCATTAAAATAAGTCAAGTTGGCCAGGGGCGGTGGCTCACGTCTGTCATCCTAGCACTCTGGGAGGATTGCTTGAGCCCAGGAGTTCGAGACCAGCCTGGGCAACACAGTGAGACCTTGTCTCTACAAAAAGATAAAAAATTAGCCAGGTGTGGTGGTGCGTACCTAGCTACTTGGGAGACTGAGGCAGGAGGATCATCTGAACCCAGGAGGTCGAGGCTATGGTGAGCCGTGATTGTGCCACTGCACTCTAGTCTGGCAGCCGAATGAGACCAAGAAAGAGAGGGGGAGGGAGGAAGGGGGAAGGGAGG